CGCTTAACGACTGAGCCACCCAGGCGCCCACCAGTCCCTTTTCTAGCTAAGGTTTCGAGGTGACCAGATGTGTCTGTATCAGCTGTGTGTCTACCCCAGCCGCTAACGGCCTCCTGTCTTCTCCCAACCCCCTGACCCGTCCTTTGCTGAGCACCAAAATCCTCCGTGATGGGCTGTCCCACCTCCCGCGCACCTCTGCAGGGCCCCGGAGTCTGGTTTGTTCGCTGGCCGCCTACCTCATTTTTGTGTCTCCGTGGATTGTGTTCGCCTTGCTTCCTTCAGACACGTTTCTTGTCCTTCTGTGCGATAGCCCCAGTGGAACTGCACGGTTATGCCCTTTGCTTCCATTCCTGCACCCATGGTATTAGAATATCATGTATGTATTTGAAAATGATGGGTGTTCCTTGACTTTTAGGTATTTTGTGAATCACTTTACTTCTTCTTGGACGTAACGTGGAGTGATGAAATTTCTGAATTTGTGGAAAATGGAAAGGGAATCCCATTTGGAATGAAAGGGGTTTGCCCTTGGCCGGTTGTGGTGGGAACAGGCTGCCACCTTTTTGTGAGCTCAACTCCGTCTGTTCATAAGTGCACAGTATGGGTGGTGTTGTGGGGTCTCCCTGATAAGAGGTGAGTGGGAGGTGTGGGGAGTCAGGCCGTTGGGTCATCTGTATTGGGTGGGCCCACCTGACCCGCACACATGAGGTGAGGGGCAGAGACGACCAGCCAGGGCGGGGGTGTGGGGCACCACGAGCTTGCTGACCGGCGGGGGCTGGGCTCTGCAGAGGGCCTCACAGTGGCTGGGCATCCCTTCCTCCCTCCCCCGGCCTTTTTGACAGGTCTTACAGTTCTGACTGCATCTTCAGTGTAGCATATGTTTGTGAGCATCAGAACTCCACAAAATCTCCTAAACCATAAATGGCTGTTGTATTGTGAACATTTGGATTTTCAAAATTCAGTCATTCTCTCCATGACTTTGTTGGTGGGATTTCAGATGAGACTGTCTTTATGACAAACTGAAAGACCAGAAGTTGACTGATGGCTACGGGGGTCAGTTCCCGGGAAGCCGGGGGCCTCCTTGATCTTCCCCCCTGCGAGTGTGTGCGATTACAAGGGTCTTAACTCACCCCCTGGACAGTGTGGGCCCGTGGGGTTCAGATGGGGACATTTGAGGTGGACAAGAGCTAAGTTCCGGAAGCCCCTTGGGGTTGTTGGAGCGTACATCCTAGTTTAGGAGACAGACACAGACTTGGGATAGGAATGGGGTGGGAGGAGCTTGAGTCTTCGTGAGGTGGGTCTTCACCATCCTTGGTGTTTCTCTCGTTTGGGAAGTGTCACGCTGGGGGCATTTTGACTGCACTGAAGTGGATTGTGGCATCTAACCTTGCTTTATGTCCTGTTTTACAGATGCCTTTGTGAATAGCCAGGAATGGACGTTAAGTCGATCTGTCCCAGAGCTCAAAGTGGTGAGTGGTTCTTCTGGCCTCCGTGGTTGTGGTTCCTCACCTGCAGGAAGTGGGCCTCTGTAAGGGGCGGGAGGTGGCCTGCGAGCATGCCCAGGCCTGCATCCAATGGGGCCTGGCTGTCTCTGGGGCCCCGACGTGGGGCATACTTCTGGGTGTATCCCTGGGAAGGACCAAGTGTAGCTGACAGTTTGAGACCAGAGCCCTGAGTGTGCCTGGGGCAACCACGTCAGCCAGCCTGCCAGAGTGGCCCTGTGCATGCCGGGCAGGGTCCATCCGCCATTGTCTCTCTCGTGTCCGTGCGTGTGTGTGAGAGAGAGACCGAGTCACACACACATGCACAGATGTGGCTTGCTTTATCCTTTGCCAGGATGTCATGAAGGTTTCTGTGATGAGCTGTCAAGCTTTGGAATTCATCATTTAAAAAATGTGACTGGTGACTTACCGTGGTACAAAGTAATAACATAAAAGAAGATTTTGTTTTAATTAAAAAGTCTAAATATTCTTCCAGTGAGATTATTTAAAGCTTCAAATTGCCTTATATAAAAAACGACTTGGGTCTATTGCAACCACACCCTTGAGCACCTCTCCACTGCAAGTTCCCTGCCTTAGGGTGGAAGGAAGGGACCAGTATGACTTTTAAATAATCATGTTCTTTGTCATGATGTAAGTGGCATTTGGGAGAAGCGTGTGTGTATTTACATGCATATGTATGTATACATATACATATGCATGTGTATATGTGTGTATATTTGCACGATGTGTGTACTTATATGTATATGTGTACATCTGTGTATGTGTGTTTGGTGTGTATATATGTGTACATGTATATATTTATATGCAAAAATGTATATTTGTGTGAGATGTGTATGTTTACATGTATACGAGTGTATATATTTATATGCGTATTTGTGGTGTGTGCACATGATACGTACATGTATGTATAAGTGGGTGTATATTTGTGGTGTATTTACATATGTATGTATATATATGCATGTGTACGTGTGTATATGTTTGTATGTGTGCATATGTGTATGTACGGCGTGTGTATATGTATGTGTACGGCATATGTACATATATGTATACCTGTGTGTGCGTGGTGTGTGTGTGTGCCTGTGTGTATGTATATACCTTTATGTGTGTACTTGTGCTTGTGTATACATATATACATTTGTGTGTGTACATGTGTGTGATGTGCATGTACATGTGTGTGCTTGTGTGTACATACATGTCCACTTGTGGCATGTGTATGCATGCATGTGCATGTGGTGTGTGCACATGTGTGTACATGTGTGATGCGTGCGTACATGTGTGTACATGTGTGTATGCTTGTGTGTATGTATATACGTTTATGTGTGTGCTTATGCTTGTGCATACATGTATACATTTGTGTGTACACGTGTGCGATGTGTGCGCACATGTGTGTGCTTGCGTGTACATACGTGCCCACACGTGTGTACTTGTGGCATGTGTGTATACATGCATGTGCGTGCGTGTTTGGTGTGTGCACATGTGTGTGCTTGCGTGTACATGTGTGTGTGCTTGTGTGTGGCGTGTGTGTGTTTCGAACTGCTCCAGTGGTGAGCCCTGACTGTAGGACGCAGGCAGGCCATCTTGGTTTCGTGCCCCCAGGGCCACGTGGCTTGGACACGGGCCTGCTCTGGTCTCCCCCAGCCCCTCATGTATATCTGTGCACATATGGTCTTTCCCCTGCGTGTGCCCTTTCTTCCGAGGTCCGTGTTGCTGTTAGCCGCTCCAGCCTGTCTGCCAGTAGCCCCCCCACCCCAGGGCCCTTGGACACCCCCTGGCCCCAACCACAGTGGGGCTTTGTGGGTGACCCAGGGCAGGGGCAGGACCCTTCAGATTTCTTGCCTCTGAGGTGAGGAGATGGAGCTTCAAGGAACGTCCAGACATTGAAGAGAGCGTATGTGACTTCGGTTACCAGGAAAAACATGTTTTAAACCTAAGAAATAAAGGATGACGTGGGAAGGGACGCTGGGATCTGCAGGTGTGGTCCTCAGGCCCTCCTGTCCCGTCTGACATGCCCGTCCCGCCGGCCATCGCCGGCTGTCCTCGTCGGGGCCCATCCTTCCCGTTCTCCTCGCCCTTCCCGCCAGAGCTGTGACCTTTCTCTGCAGCATTGCCGCAGGCTTCTCTCCTTGTGGGAGAACGGGGTCTGTCCGTCCCGCGGCCCTTCCCGAAGCCGGGGTCTGCACAACTGGCCTCGAGCCAGCTGCCTGTTTCTCGGGTTTTGTGACCGCCGTGCCTGGCTCAGGATTGATCCTGCCGGGCGGGCACCTTCAGGAAATGCCTGTCGAATGAATGCTAGAGTTGGCAACTCTGTTACTAGGAGCTTTTCGGGAAGATTTACCAGTTGCAGACACGGCCTCAAGCTCATGAAACCGCCAAAGCGCCTTTCTGTCTGCGGTCGGAGCCCAGCAGCGGGAGCATTGTTGTGATGAGGCCGCGGGCCACGGCCTCTGTGCAGGGCAGGTTGTGAGTGCGTCACACAAGCAGCTCACTTCCGCCTGCCCGCCGCCCGTGAGCCACGTCCTGTTGTTGCCCCGTTTCAAGAGGAGGACGCGCCCTCAGCGTCCTGGGGACTCCCCCGCGAGCGGCGGTCAGCAGGTGGAGCTGGGATTTGAACCTGGGCTGGGCACTCCCGCGTCAGCACTGCCCACTGAGCTTCCTCCTGGGGGCCCTCCTGTGTCTTGCTGCCCAGGCCGCTAGCTGCTGGCCCCACGTGGCCGCCACCGAGCGCTGGGAGGGTGGCCAGTGCGACCGAGGAGCCAAATTTAAATTTTCATTTAAGTTCAATGAACTGAACTTGAACGAGCCCCAGGAGGCCAGGGGTCCCCTTTTGACGGTATTACAGTCTGACTGTGATTGTTGAGTATCCAACCCTCTGATTTAGACCTGATTTTGGTAGCTTGTTGGGGGTTCTGCTAGAGCCCACACGTTCATACCAGCCCATAATTGGGATGCTCACTACTAAAAACTGGTTTTCTGCTGCTATTTCAAAAGCGTGTAATTTCCTGGAGCGAATGCTCAGAGGTGTGCGAAGGAGGTGATTCCATTAATAGGCAGCATGGATTTGTGTTCCCAAAATGTAACTGTCTTGAGGTTTGTGCACATGTGCTGAAGGGTCAGCCCCGTCCCATAGATGAGGAAACGTGGTTCTGCAGTCGTGCGGAGGAAGTTCTGTATGTCCCGCCCCTGACCTGCATGTGGATGGACGGACCCCTGCAGGACAACCAGCTCTGCTTGGCTCTGGTCAGGGCGCCCCCCCCCACACCCCCCGCGTGGGAGGGCAGGCGGCTCGTCCTCCCTGGCCGCCCCAGCGGGTTCCCCTTCTGCACCGAGGACTTCTCAGTCTCTGCAGAAAGTGCTCCTTTGTTCAGAGCAGCCTCTGTGCTCTCATTGTTTGACACACCACCCCCGAGACAGGTGGCCCCTTAGGTCAGCGCCTTCGGAACCCCTGACTGTCACGATGTAGCAAGTACATGACATAATCGCAAGCCTCAAGTGGACTCTTTATGTGATATTTTGCAACAAATCTTCTGGAATCTGTCAGAGGAGAAATTTCAGCGTTTGCTTTCTTTCACAAGTGGTGGTGCCATGCCTTAGGTTTTCTGAAGTTGTGGCGAGACAATCAGTGACCAGTGGCTCTTGGATCGGGACGCTGCTCACGGGCAGCAGGCGCGCAGGGCTGGTATGTGGGCAGACAGAAGAGACCCCCCCTCTACATCCTGCCCGTAGAGGGAGCCTCTGGTCACAGCCCATCTGGGGGTTTTCCCTGAATTCGCAACTGGGATTTTTCCTGGCAGGCTTGACTTCCTTTTCAGCAGACGGCACATTTCGCAGGTAAGTGGTGAGGTGTGGACGACAGAGAAATCCGTCTAAAAGGAGAGGGCACTCTTTTCCCCCGTGTGACCGGAGGATGTGAGCAGGGGCCCTGAGGGTTCACGGCCCACCCAGAGGACGGGGCCCGCCCACGGTGACAGTGACTGCCTCCAGACGTAGGCGGGCCTGTGTGCGATTTTCCGGACCCACTCCTGTGTGTCTCTCCACGAAGCCTGTAGACGGTGATCGGGCTGGGTCCATTCTCTCCTTTTTACACCCAGTAGCTCTCATGGATTCCAGTGGAGCTTTATGGCCTCAGGAGCGTTTCCGTCCCTCATTTTATTCCTCCTTATAGCGGGCTGTTAGTTCCTGCCAGTGTTGCAGATTAGCATAAGGCCCATGGGGCGTGACTATACGAAGGTCTGTGAAATGGCCATTTAAACCGTAGCACATGCCTCCCCCCAGCGCCCCCAAGACTGACTGATTTTCTCCTCCCGAAGGGTCAGCTCATTCTTTGCAGAGCACTGGTGTGTAAGGAAGGAATGACTGCCGCACACAGAAAGCACAGACCGAGCAGTGTTTGATTCTGAGCATTTTCCTCCTCAGGAAAGAGAAACTCTAATCTTAATTAAAAATTTAATTCTGTGGCATACTGGTTTGGATTTTCTCAGCATGAAGCTGACAAACAGCAGGTACCCTTGAGCAAAAGAATAATTAATAGGTAGAAATTCTCAGATTATGGAGCCCCCGGGTAAAAAGAAGACATGAGTCACATCGGGAGGGGAAACATCTTTATTGAGGATCTGCCCACATCACCTGGCTTTGTGCCCCTGTTTGTACTCGTACTGGATCAGTCACTCGTTGGCTCGTTTATGGGGCCAGTACTGGTGGGAGGCTGCCCAGGCTGGGGTGACGCTGGGACCCAGAAACAAGGTGACCCAGACCCTGCCCTTTGGGAATCGTCAGCATCGCCAGTCAGACCCGTTTAGCGATGCTGGTAAAATAAAGGTCATGGGACAATGTCATGAGGAGGGCATGGAGGGGGCTTTGAGGAGAGGTGCCCAGTTGAGGCTGTGCATCAGGAAGGCTTCTCAGAGGAGGTGACATCTGAACTGCTTGCTGACCAGGGAGCAGGAATAGTATTTCAGGAAGTGATTGATGAGGAAAGGTCCAGGTGTCTGGAGACAGACAGCAAGGCCTATCAAGATGAGGCAGTTTCCAGGAATCTCTCTGGTACTCTAGGGGTGAAGAGGGAGCCCGTAGGCAGAGAGACCAGCTAACATCTGCCCCGTGATCCAGTGGACAGCAGGCCTGCCCCAGCATGACGGGGAAGGTGCTCCTGAGGGCAGGGGCTCCATGACTGGGAAGGGTGAGAGTCTGAGATGGCTTCCACGTTTCTGGTTTGAGAGGCCGGGTGGGGTGTGGCCATAGAGATGGATGAACAAACTGGAGAGAGCGGTGAGGTCTGGGGGTGCTGGGGTTTGAGTACCAGCATGGATGGTGTGGGGTGCATGCAGAGAACTTATATAGTTCTCCTGGTGGGGGGTTGGAGAATGAGATTTGGGATCAATAGCTTACTGGGGGTTGGAGGGATGTGGCCAGGCACACTGGGGGCATGGGAGTCGAGGATCTAGAAGAAACTAGGAGATCTGGAAGGAGCCCATGTGGGCTGAGAGGAAGTTCGAGGAGGAAGCGCAGGGCGGAAAGTTTGAAGAAAGCGCGGCTCATCTACAGCTTCTGGTGATGGGCTGGGTCAGGAGCAAGATAAAGGCTAGTGCTCTGAGAAATGTAGTCCTTGCTGACCTCAGGGGCAGCGTCCTTGTAGCTCTTGGACCAGATCTTGAGATTGTAAGGGTGGAGCGCGGGACTGGGAGGGCGAGCGTGGCTGAGAGCCTGGCTCTGGTACGAGGGGACCTGCGTCCTGAGACAGAGCTCTTGTTTTGTTTTTCTTAAGGAATTGATTTGGGCATGCTTAAATGCAGAGAGGAGAGTTCTGGTGGGGAAGGGAAAGGTAAAAATATGGGGGGGGGGGTCCTTGATGGGCAAGCTGCAAGAAGTCTCAGGAAGAAGGCCACCGTCGGTGTGTGCTCAGACGGTGTTGACGCTCTCGGAGCCCCGAGACCGATAAGAACGGGAGGTGGAAAGTGAGAGCTTAGGAACTCCTTTGACTTCAGGAGGAGAATTTAACAAGCCAGGTTTGGGCCTTCCAGCCGATGCTTGGGTATGATCATGCTTCGCCTTACCGTGCATGTTAACCTCTCTCTGTTTGCAGATTGACGAGTAGAGTGATGTAATGATAATGAACAGTCGTCCAATTATGTGTTTCAGGGGATCGTGGGTAATTTGGCCAGCGGCAAGTCGGCCCTGGTGCACCGGTATCTGACGGGCACGTATGTCCAGGAGGAGTCTCCCGAAGGTATGCTGTCTGCAGGCTGTCTCAAGCTCGAGAGCGTTTAGTTCATTAAATTTTTCTGTAGCATATTCTAAATCATGATGATGATGCATCACACTTCAAGAAAGTAAAATACCAAGCAGTAAAAATCCTTAGGTGTGTCATTTCTTCCATAGTATTTTTAGTTAACTGATCGTACTTACTTTGGCGTTTAGAACAGTAGAGTAGAGCCTTGAAATGCTGTTGAATTTATTTCTTATGTAATAGTCCTGGCGTTTCAAATGTCAATCCAGTGTCACCCCCTTTAAATATTACTCGGACATTTCTCTGATCTGGATATCGAGTTTATCCGTAACTTGTATGTACTCTTACCTGGTCACGGATCGGAGCCTCTCAGATGACCACCACCACATGTTTGAGTATGTTTCCCCGTATATTCTATTATAAACACGTAAGAATCATTTTGCATGAGAGTAAGAGATTTCTTTTGCCATTAGGCTTTTGCTTCAGTTAACATATTCATATTTTATTTTTTGCTTTAAGTGAAATTACGGTAACAGCAGGAAGCCATGCAATCCCTGTGTCTTTAATCAATGTAGAGTTCACAGGCGGCTTTCTGAATGATATTTTCTCTCCGTATAACCTTTTAAAATCCAATTCTGAGACACTGAATTTCTGGTTCCTTCTTTCTCTTACTGGCTGTTCCATTCTTTGCAGATATGGATGCAGGTAACTATACGTTTTCTTCATGGCAGCGCTTGTCTTGTTTGAAGAGAGAGGACAGGCTCAACTTCGCACTGTAGTGTTCCCTTCCTCCTTGTTCCGTGTGCCATCGATTCTGTTTCATTTTATCCTTTTATTTAAGTTACACATTTCACCCTGTTTTGTCCCTTAGCTGTGTCCTTAGCAGTAGTCCTGAGTAGCTTCTCATGTTCCCTGTAACACCTGTTCTAGTATTTAACTCTTGTCCTGGAGACTGTGTAACCATTCAGAAGGGTACGGAAGGCTGGCGTTCTGGGGCTCTCTGGGGGCTCTGCCATCATTCTGCAGAGCTTTGCAACCCTGTCATCAAAACCTTGTGGTGGTCACCTCAGGGAAGGCCCGCTTCTTCGTTATCCACGTGGAGCTGAGGGCGTAGGGAGATCAGACTCGGAGGCTCCTAGCTGGGAATCGAAGAGAAGCCCCCAGCTGTCCAATGGAGAATGAACACAGATGCTGGGAAAGGCACGATCTGGAGAGGGGTGGGGGGAGAGGAGGTTCTGGGTCTTTCTGACTTCCTCCCTGGGATCTGTGCCTGGGCTGTGCTGGTGTCGCGTGTGTTCCTTGGTGTCTGAGCGTGGATTTTAGCCGTAGTCGTTTTGATTGCACTGAGGGAGCCGGGGCTGGAGCTTTTTTCTTGGCCTTTCTGCATCTTTGTTGGGGTTAGGTATTGTTGATGACACCAGATGCTGAGGGGTGGGCTAACCTGACTTGACACGATCACCTCTTCGAGTGAATCTGCCCACACTCTCCTTACATGCCCCGATTCCGTTCAGGGGTCGCCGGTGATACGGTCTGGGCCCCTGGTTTTGCTGCCGGTGCTCCGGCTTCTCCCGAGTTTGGTTCAGTGTCCAGTGCGGTCAGTGCGAGAGCCCCTGCGTCACGGACGCCCGTCCCTTCCCCATGTAGTGCTGTTTTGTCATTACTGGGGCTTTTGCTGTTTTCCCATGTCCTATTTTTGGTCTATTCCATCACATTTGGGGTTTCTTTGCAAGGGACCCTTATATTTTGATGAGCATGAAGGCATTTTTCTCTAATGTTCATATTTCAGGTAAAAATTATACTCAGTGGGGTGACTTAAACTGTGGTCTCTAATGAACCCCCTTCTTTGATTGTTTAACACATTTTACTCTACTGAAATTTCATGGCATTGCGTACAGTTTTAAAAATACCCTATAGGGTAGAAGCATGCATGAGTACACCAAAGGACATCCCTTTCCTCATCTGCAAAGTCTCATCCCGCACAGTGGGGCTTGTGCCCAAGGTGTCCTTGATCAGGGGAAAGACTCCATGATCTTTTCTCTTGACTTCCAGGGACTCAGGCCGCCCACCTGTCCTCTCACGTGTGACTCGGGTCAAGGGTGGGGCCCCCAGGTGCTCCTAAGTGGACGTGCTTCAGGGCCTCTGGCTGCAGAATGAACTGTGGGCAGGTGCTGCCGCATGCCTGGAAACCCCATAGCCCCCCTGAATCTTTGTTTCCCAGGGGCTGTCTGCTTGTGCCTTTCTGGAACCAGGCAGGTGGCCACATCCTTGCCTCATAGGGAGGCCAGGGAACTGACTGCCACTTCCTGTCCCCTGGCCTGGGCGAGTCTCATAGCAGCAGGAGAATCAGGTTGTTTCAGCAAGGACATGATTGAGGAAAGCCTCGATTTCTCACTGTCCACACTGGAGTTCTTTCTGGAACTGGAATTCTGCCAGGGAGCCTGTAGCTGGAAAGTGATCTTGGTTGTTGTCGAACGTGTTAATAACATCGACTGATTACATGTGCTTACTTCATTGAGAAGCTTTCCATTCAGGCTGTTCTGGAGTTGGAATGTACCGAAACATTGCCCAGGTTTGTGGAGAGCGTCGGAGCCATGGAATCCCGTCCCATGCGTGCAGGCGGCCGATGAAGCCGATCATAGCTCAGCCCCACCCGCGACTACTTGCAGAGACAGAGGGTCAGGTTAGGGGGCAGCGAGCTGATGACGGGCGTCTCCAGCGCCATGCTGGGGGAGTGCACATCCAGTGAGCTGTGGGGCTCTCTGCTTGTAACTCGTCCTCCTTTCCTCCTACACCTGCTGGAGAGACCGGCTGCCCCCAGCTGCACATGGCAGTGACTTCAGGCTCCGGCTCGCTGCTGCTGGTGGCCGTGAGATCGGCCAGTGCACACGGTTTGCTGGAGCTCTCCTGCCCTCACAGGGTTGTTCCTTGATTTCCTTAACGTGTAAATGTCCCTTAGCGCCACTCTGACCTGCCGCGGGATCTTCACGTTGCTGGCCGTTTACGGTGGGGAAGGCCTTCTGTTTTCAGGAGAGTTCTCTCTGTCGGAAACTGGCGCGGGATGATCCGGACTTTTGCTGGAATGTACTTTTCATCAGATGGATTGTAGCTGGGTCTCCGAGGAGAACAGCTGTTGTGTTTGAACCGGGTGATACGTTCTCACAGATTTTCTTATAGCAAAGAGAGTTGACAAACACGATTTCAGTAGTTTTAATTTAACTGTGTTTCACACAGTTTAAATGAGGGATTGATTTCAATATTATGTGTGTTTTTTAATGAGTAAATTAGCAATGCAAAAGTGGGTAACTCAGCGGGGAACAAGTGATCCCATCAAAGTCATCCAGGGAGTGAAATTTTTGTGCAGGCAAATATCCATTTAGTCGTGTGCGTGCATGTGTGCGTGTCTGAGTCCTAGGGTCATCATAACAAATGGCCGCAAACTGCGTGGCTTCACTCCCCAGAGCCTTACTGTCCCCGTGCTGGAGACCCGAAGTCCGAGATGACGGTGTTGACGGGGTTGGTTCTTCCTGGAGGCTCTGAGCACGGGTCTGTCCCGAGCCTCTGTCCCCATGCAGTGTTCTTCCAGGGGCTTCGTTTCCGTGTCCAGATCGCACTCTTCTCGGGGATGGCAGGCCCTGGACTTAGGGCCCACCCTGCTCTTGTCTGGCTTCATGTTCGTCACGTCTGCGAAGACCCTGTGTCCAGATGAGGTCACGTCACGGGTTTTAGGGGCTGGGACTCAAACATCTGTGTCACGGGAGGGAATCCCCACACCAGCGACCCTCCGTGTGTTTCGCACATGTGGTGTTCCGGCGGGAGCTGCACGGAGCACGGTTGTCCTGTTCCCCGTGGGGGCGGGAGGGACATGAGCTGCCCCCGCTCTCCCTGGAGGTGCTCACTGCTGGTGTCCGGGAGCTTCACACAGAGGAGAGGAGCTTGTCTGTGACCTTCACACCTCTGATGGGGATTTCATAGCTGTCACTCACTCCGCGTAAAGACAAGCAGGTGAAAATGATTCCTTTGTGATCTGTACCCTGTTGATGGTGCTAATTAGAATTGTGAATGGTATTTCAGGCATGTAATCTGAGCGTCCACCTCACGTGCGTGCTTAATATCCACTGTGCACTGCACCTTCCCCACCACAGACCCCACGGGACCGCCGCTCGGGTTTTCACTCTCTCCCCTCAAAATTAAGAAAAAGAGAAAGGAAAGGAGACTCGGCTGTTTGGTGTCCGTAGGGACTTGACAGACACCTGCCCCGAGCTGCTGTACCCCTCGAGGACTGGGAGGTTGTGGACTGTGGTGTCCTCGAGGGACTTGGAGCTTTAGAAACGGGGCCATTGCTCTGACACCTCGTCTCTGTGACATCCCCGCGTTACTCCTCTTCTCTCTTGTGCCGTGGGCCCAGCTGAACTGTGCGGACGTTCGTGCGGAAGGATCTGGAGCCTGCAGAAGCTCCCACCCAGGAGCTGCCATGTTGGTGGTGCAGGACATGGGCTCTCCAAGACGAGACTCAGCTGTCCTGTGGATCGAGTGGAAGATTTTAAGGTCGGTAGAGACAAGCTTAAGAATGTCCATGGACCCTCCCTCCTGTGATTATAAAATTAACTGCTCTTAGCTACTTTTTCATGGAACCGTGGGAACCAAAACGGGGTGAAAGGTGCCAGGGTGCCCAGGTCCTGGCTGCCGCTGCCCCGTGTGGCTGGAGAGTTCTGTGGTCACCGCTCCTGGCAGGAGCCAGTGCCTGCTGTCCCCCCCGCTCCCCCATCCCGTTCTTGCCCTCAGCGCTCTGCCAGGAGCAGTTTCCCAGCAGATGTGTCTGTCTCAGGGCAGGAGATACGTTCTCAGGAGCACAAGGATCTGAAATATTTTTTTAATGAATGTTTGCTTAGTTGCTTAGAAACAAACCATGTGGTAAACACTTAGCCATATTTTCTGGGACACATGAAATGCATTTAAGCTGTCAGCCCCTGAAACCCTTTCCAAATCAAATAAACTTAAAAAAATTTTTGTAAGCTACCACTGCTCAACAGATGTTTGGGCTTATTTCTAAACACGTCCTCTTGTGCTGTTTAAAGTCCCAATGAAAAAAATCTGTAAACTCTAATAAAAATTGAGTAGTTTTGAAATCCAGCCATTTAAATGTTTTAACATAATTTTGCCATGTTACTTGTAACTGAGTGATTATGAGTACATGATAATTTTTTAATGAGGATTATCTGTAAACCTTGAGATTACGAGCAGCCTGCTGGTAGGTTGGTTTAATAGGTCAGGCACAAGGCAGGTCTTTTTCACATTCTCGAATCATTCTAAACCCGCCTCTGGCCATGGAAATATCACTGACCTCTCGCTTTCTTCCACCTCCTCTTAACTCTGTCCCCTCACACGGAAGCCATGCTGAGGGCCAGGTGATGCTGTCCAGAATAGAAGAGGGATCCCGAAATTATCCCTAGAGCCACAAAGAAACCATAAAAGAGAAGCACGTTCTACTTTGTTTTGAACAAGAAAAAGAAGGCTGTAAAATAAGAATGAGGAGGTCGTCATGTTTTTGGCATTGACAGCGCTGGCAGGACAAAATGTGTTTTCGAGTTGGTCGTTTGGAACTCAGAACACATCTTCCCATGTTGTTATAATTAAGTCGACAAGAAATTGAGTGCATCCTGAGAGCCGGGCACCTTCCAGAGAGAAGAGCCTTCTGTTGAGATAAC